AAATTCAAATCTAAATAAATATCACTCAGAACAATGTTAAACTCCAAAGACAATTTAAAATAAATAAAAAACATCATACAAGCGTAATTCAAAAACATGTAAAAAGGCGAACAAATAAGTTTTAATTTGTGTCTCACTTGTCCATTTATAATATTAGAGTCTTAAATAGATAAATCTATAATATTTTTCTCTCTTGAAACATCTTATTCTTTATCACTATCTATAATATAATAACTAACTAATAATATTGAAACGCAAAATAATAAATAATTAAATTAAATTAGGTGGGTTAGGGAGCCAATCCGGCTCACCACGGGTTCAACTCGGTGAGCCAGATTCTAAGTGAGCCGGATTGAAAACTAGCCCGCATAACATTTTTTCAAACTCAACGCAGTTCAAACTCGTGGTGAACCGGATTGACTCGCGGATTACAATCCATTTTGAGAGCACTAGAAAGAGGATTGATAATATACGAGATGTAATAGGTTCAAATTTTAACTAAAAATAGATTTTGGATGATTTTATATCATATTAAAAGAGTGAATTTAAATTTAATGGATTCAGTAAAGTGAGTTTACTCCATTTATATATCTTTAGTTTACGTAAGTTCTGTAATATTTTTTCTCGCACGAGTACCTCAAACGGAAAAATCAAGGAAGATGACATTAGACAAAGTTTTTATCCATATCAGCATATCAAGTAATAACACTATTGGAAGAATGTGGGAGCGTTAAATTTGCTCGACAACGAATGGTTGAATAATATATTTTATTTTTATCATTTAATAACAGTTTATATTTATACGGTAGAAAGTATTGTCATGTAATGGCGTACAGTGTATTATACACAGTAAAGTTTCACAATATGGTGTTATATCTTGTATGTCAGTTTTTCTTGACGATGATTAGGTTTTACGTACGCAAGATTCATCGCACTTAGTGACCCTACTGTTGCGCATGATTACTTACACGAGGATCACAAATTGAATCAAAACGTAGTTGCGTGATGAAGGAAGTGATTATTTTTGTTTTTTGTAAAGATAAGATGATAGTTTAGTTTCTCATTTGGTGTTATATCATTTTCAGACAACTTTTATTACATACGATCATTAGCTTTTATGCGAGATTCATGGTACCTATTGACCAATTTGTCAACCGATAGATGCAATGTTAAGAGAACGATATGCAACATTATTATTTGTACAGCATCAGGAGTATCTCAGAATGAATCAAAACTGGAATTGTGCAAGCATTGAAAAAAATTATTTTGGGTTCTGTCAAGATTCATTGGGTGAGGCTGATTTCTTGAACTGCGTTCAAATCTTCGTCTCTTGGAGGCGCACGCATGAGCGAGAGTATGGTAGAGACACAGAAGCGAATCTGGACTTAGAAAATTGGGAGAATTGAATTGAATATTCAACAAAACAACCGAAATCTCAGACTGTCCCCTTGTTTGATGCAATCAGAGGAGGTTGTGATTGCATTTCAGATTCTTGACTTTGTGTGGCCAACAATGAACGCTCACAAATCTTGTTCTCAACGGACACGCAAGCAATCTGATTTGATCTCTACCAAAACACAAGAACAAAATTCTTCCTTATCCTCAATACACCTGTTCAATCAAAATATACGCAAATATATCTAAGTGGGTGTCAAAATTTAACTTTGAAGGTTCAAATAAGAGAGAAACACATGTTTTTTTTTTATCTTTTGGAATCCATCATAGGATGAGGAGTCACCAGATTTTTTGTGGTAATTAAAATGTGAGCATTGTTTGTCTATTGATGAGTTGAGAAAATATAAATATTTGTTACGGCTTCCACACCAAATAATAGATTTGGCAGCGTTATTTAAATTCAGATGTGCACGTCTTTAAATTCTTTAGACCATATGAGTTGTGACATTTCATCAAACATTGCGTCAAAAACTCATTGGTATATATGGGTCCTCCTCCACCACCACCACCCGTCCACGTTTTAACAATTTTAAATATATCTCTTCAGTGTATAGGAAATCAATTAATTTACACATTGGCCTGCCTCATTAAAATCTGATATTACTGTTACTGCACGATGCGTTTTAAAAGGAAATTACGTAAAATACTTTATTTTTTGGTTAGCTACGCAATACTAAGATATAACAAAGAAAATAATATACATAAAGACATTTTTATTCCATGTATTATACTATAAGACGGACAATAATACCAAATAAAATAATGTAAAATTTATTATAATTTTTTTTATATTAATTATATTCATGTATTGCAAAATGTATGTGTGCGTGTGAGTGTTTTCTAATACAAAGTTATTAAATGTGTTCCTAATACAAAGTTAGAGAGAGAGATATCTAAACTATCTGAGTTTGTGGTCTAAACATTTTTTTGTGGGCTTGGACTTAGATAAACACATCCACGATAATTTATTTTTTTATTTTCATAATTTCAACCTGAGTGTTACCTCCACCACCACAAGTTTCAGCTTACACCTCCCCAACTTTTCTTTTATTTCAAAACTAACCTTAAGTTATTTTTTAGTTTTATTTTATTTAATATAAAACCCTAATTCTATTCTTTCCCTTTTTTTTCCCGCCAATAGCATACCCTACACCCCTTCACAAATCTTCTTCCTCTTTTATTTCTCATTTTTCTTTTCTTTTCTCATTTCCATTTCCTCCCTTCATTATGTCGTTGCGTTGTTGCTGATATATTATATGTTGTGCAATGGTATGTTGTTGTATGTTCTATGCACATGAAACGATTGAGGGAAATAGGAAAGGCCAAAACGGATATAGGAGATTTGTTTGACCTTCAATGGATGTCAATATTCATCGATAGATATGAACATCCGTTGAAAACCAAATGAATCTTCTATTTATGTTTTGGCCTTCATGCTTTTCTTTTATAAATTTGAATTTTGGTTTATTAATTATTTGTTTTTCTAGGTTTATTTATCTATAGTTAATTTAATATTTAATTTATATTTATTTATACATAATAAAAATTGTTTGTTTTTTTTTTAAAAAACGGTTGTAGGCCTTAACGGAAATGAGGATTCGTTGAGCCTTCAATGGATGTCCATATTCGTCCACGGATATGGATTTCCGTTGAAGGCCCAACGGATCTCCCATTTCCGTTAAGGCCTTCAACCATTTTTTAACCATGGTAGATACACTTTTATTGAAGGACAAGTGAGGAATGTGATGGTGGAGGAAGAAGTTGGGGTGGTATAGGAGAAACTCTCTTTCAACCCGCATTTTTATAATTTTTTTAATTTAAATTATGCAATCTAAAATATGTAAGTTTTATATTTTGAAATGTAAAACAAAAAATATAAATATTTTTTATGTTTTATATTTTAGAATATATAATTCAAAATATAATATTTTATTTTGATTTGAAGTACAAAAATATTATGTCCTGTTTTGAGCGAATTCAATTTCAATACATTTTTGTGAAGCCAGTGGAGTGATGTTTTAGCAAAGTTTTAATTTTCTTTTTATTGTAATTAGAACGTGGTTCTTATTTAGTTTTGAATTTTCTTGTTACTCCCTTTTCCAGGAGGTTATTAATTGTTTTGCAAATGGGGTTTAGGCCTTTTTCCATTACAAAATAAAAAGGACTTTTCCGCAATGTTATTCCATATTTATATCAAGCGATAGATTTCTATCATTTTTGCTGCCCTATACTAATTTTTTAGTCAAACGCAAATTAATTATGTTTTGTATTGGCGAATACCATTGTTTAGTTAATCGAACAAACTTTGCTTACAATTAGTTAAAAAAACAAACTTGTAAATAAAAAGAAAAATAGGTCCTTAACTTAAAGGTCAGCTGATTATTTATTTGTAAGGAAAATTGGTTGAGCGAGGAGGTAGTTGCAAACTTCCGGGGACCTGAAGGGAGTGTAAAAAAAGCGATGTCAAAAGATATTTGAATGTGTGTACCTTATGTATTAATTCACATTAACTATTTTAGTCTTATCATATACTAATACCAATACTATATATACGTATCTAATATGTTTTTGAAAATAAAAATATTTGATATATGTATATTAAAATATATAAAAAAAATTAAAAACATGATAAATATATTATTATTAGTCTGAATCTAAATTAAAACAATATATATTAATATTGTTGAAATAAAAAATATAAATTATTGTTATTACAAAAGTTTACTGCTTTATAGAATAAAATGTTTAATATGGATACTTTGTCCAAATTAAAATATCCATTCATTAATAAACACATATCTACTTTTGCTATATATCTTACATCATCACTGTACACTAAAAATAATCCCATATGATTGCAACAATTTAAACTTTTTATCTGCAATAACTGAAACTTTTTTTTTTCTTTAAAGAAGTCAAGTATATTGATAAGTATAGACTGGGCCAAGTTAACCATCTTGTTTGGCCCAGCTGTGGTTCGTCTGCAATGGATAGCTAAAATGTATATTCAGAAAAAATAACACCCAATTTAAGACACTTTATTGGATAAATTTCAAAACAGAAAATAGCAATGTACACATAAATAATATCATGTTATACTAAATGTTAACCATTATTAAGTCGAGAAACCTTTATCACTACTAATACAATATTGTTAAAAACATAATATACTTTTTGAAGCTGGGTTAAACTCCAACAAGTGACACCATCATCTCTTTACACCAGAAGTCCAAAAAAATGACCAGCTCCTCCTTTTTCTTAACTATTACCTTATGGAAACATTTCTATATAAAGAACATTTACCCAAAACAGTTATGTAATGTATGAACATTCTTAGTTTCCAACTAGCACTAGTAAATAATTATGCAGAGGCATAATATGGTATAAAGCCACTTTCCCAGTAAGGAGTAAATAGAAAATGAACCAATAATGTTAAAACCGAAAACATATTAAATAGGAAAAACAGGTGTTGCATAGTTACAGCCACGCCATGGAGGGGTCGGAGGACAAGGACCTGACTCATGTATAAATGCATAGTTACAGCCTTAAAGGTAACAGTAATAACTTCTGCATTCAGCAATTCAGATTTTAGTTTGAAAATGGTATAGATTCATTTACATGAGGGCAAAAACAAAAGGATTGCCTTTAGTGTTTTAAATTACAAAGGAAGAACAAACTTGTGTTTGATCTTTTAATATTCTCTGCACAACTATACAGGAAAGCCTTTCACGAGTCAAATGCATCATTCAAATATAAACAAACTTAAAGGCACTCGGCAGTTTCACTTCTCAAAGTTTCAACCATACATCCCTTCACGTTCCCAAACATCCACCAGGAATTCGACCATTTCCTATTTATGGAAAATCAAATTATCAATTTGTAATTTTGCAATCTCACGTAAAAAATCCAAGCAAAAATATACACGGGCCACTTACAGATAAAGGTATGGACTTGGGGAAAGGTTGTCTAGTCCCAAGCAAACTTTCGTAAGTTGCATTCCAACTACACAACAAACACAATGACTAATAAGTCATCTACATGGAAGAAACTATGAAAAAGGGAAAGCAAATATGATGGAGACTTTGGCTTTGTAAAAGGGTATATATATATAAACAGAAAATATATTGACTTGCATCATATTTGCTTCAAGATCTAAAAATATGCCTCGTGCTTTCAACTATTATTAAATCGCTCAAATGAGAAAGAAAAATAGACCTCACTACTTCCCCAAAAGGCATTACATGCAAAACGTAAATGTTACAATTTGACAGTGAATAAGGATGTATTTCGAATTCTCGTCCAATGAGGTTAAAAAAGAACCGGAAAATAAAAACTTCCGACAGTTATTAAGTGTTTCACCAGCCCCCAAAAAATATGAAGTGAATAAGCTAAGATCATGGCCCCATGTGTATTTAGAGTGGCTTAAAGAATATTCATTTAATCGGGGACCAAATGAAATGCATTTGACATACTTCAGTCTGGGTTCACGTTTTTGTTGGCTAGGCTTGCTAGATTTTTCACTTCCAATCCACTGAAGCCTACTTTCGTTCCAGAGAAGAAGACCTGAAATAAGCAACAGCATGTATGCCTTTATTTTCCCCTTAAATAAGGAAATAAGGAAAGTAATTCTTGCAAACAATATACAACAGTATACAGTAAAAAATGATATTACCATAACATATCTATCCAAATCCAAATAATGAACAACAAAAACTAACCAAGTGAAAAATATCATATCATTTCCAACATTTTTGTCATGCAAACCTTGGTTACATGAATGGATCGTACGGGATGGGGTTCGTGTTATGCTAAAAGTATAGATGAATATTTCAATATTAATTCCTACGGGAAATAGAAAAATATAATATAGAACTTGCCTGGGTTTACAAATTCAGAGTTGGTGCCTGTAGTAGAAGTTCCACCACTATGATAGAGAATTTGATTTAATGTACTGACAGACGAGATACTTCTCTGAGATTGAATGTTGCCATTATCCAGATCACAAGTGCTTGAACTCCAGAAACCATCTGATATATGTGGTTTTCTCACTGTCTGCCCCTGAATTCTTAGTCCCTTTGCCGGCTCATCCACAGCAATTATTGGTGTTGGTTTCATACAACATCCAAAGCAACCACTGTTCTGTATAAATCAAGTTAAATAACAGAAAAACCGAAGGCCGACGTAAAGACAAGTGCATATTTTCCTTATGTGATGTCTTTCTTTCAATCCTGATTTGTTTACTTACAAATTACAACTATCAAAATGTTAGGAGTTCCACATTGAGTAGGATAAACTACTTGTGGAACTTAAACTTGAGACTCTCCCACCTAAATGGATTACTCAATTGGGTTGGATTCTCCTCTGGTGCTTAAGCCTTACAATGGGTGCTTTCATTGAGTTAAAGTACAGAAAGGGTTACTTATAGGTTGAATTAAGGTGCAGACTGAATACTGATATGAGTAAAGCTTTCTCAAGGAGAAAAGGGCTACCACCGACTCAGTGTCACATTGAGTATCCATAGAATGAAGCTTCCATGGATGTTGACCCTTAATGGAAGTGACAATGTTAGGAGCCTAACACTGAGCATTATCAGAATGAAGCTTCACCTAAATAGCACATTTTTCACTTTTAATACTTTGACCCAGCAGACTAACACCTTAAAAAATAAAAGTGTTTTTTACAACACAAAATAGTAGTTTTTATTGATTTCACAGCAAAGCCAAACAATCACAAAATCCGGGAGACAGTTTTACACAATCAAAGGAATGTTTGAAACTATTGTGTTTCATCCTCATCATGTTAGCAGTATATTAAAATTGACCTGTGATATGCTTTTAAACACAACTAGTGATAAATGGATGTTGTAGAATATAGAAACGAGCTCCTTTTAAGAAAAATCAATCCTTATTTTTCTATGAATGCTCTGTTGAAGGCATTATCTTTTAAAATAATTTGAACACTTAAACTCCCATATCGACTAAACTCCCGTATCGACTAGAGATAAGACCAATTAGAGTATATAAATGGATACAAAACTCACTTTACAAGTCTATTTTATGGAGTTGAATTAGGCTTAAAGTCCACTTCTTATGGTATTGGAAAAAATGGAAGAACTAAATAAGGAGTCTAATAGGTAGAAAACCACTCTTCTGCTTTATGTTCAATCAGCAATTACAATCCGTTAATCAATGCCAGCTTCAATAACTAAAATTGGAGTCAAATGCTGAGCCTCCCGTAATCAGTCATTGGGAAGAAAAATAACATTAAACCGCGAATGAATCTCGGTCCATTTTTAATTGGCAAGGCAAATCATCAAACAATAACCGAACAAACGCCTTACAGCAACAGACACCAAGGATGAAACAACCGACGCCAGCTTCAAAATACGACACAAACTGCATTGCCTTGAGTAGTCAACACCAAAAACCTAACTCGGTTTCACAAGATGAGAACTTTAATCCAAAATAGCAAACCTCGGAACCCTTTCCACGAACAATTGAAAGGGGAAGGCAAATCCACTCCTAATTGATACCAACCAGAATTTATCTAAAGTTTCGGTCGCACATGACAGACCATATACCCAAAAGGCCAAAACGGAAACCCATTCATTGAATTGAATCAAAGCAAGAAAATTGATTACAAATATTCATGTGTGTATGTATCTATATGTGCCAACAGTATCAAAGAATCTAAGAATATAAAAAATAAAAATAAAAGCAATATTGGGAATGGAGGGGCTCACCCCATACAAGCGAAGAGGTCAGCGATCCAAGCAGTAATCATCACCATCTCCACGACCACATAGAATTTTGAGAGGTGCAAAGAGCCACAAGAAGAAGAAAGGAAATTTCGCAGTGGAAACTGATAAACGAGTGGGTTTGTTACCTTTTATTTTATCGTGTCTGCTGCACTACTGTCACTGTCTGTCGTTTAACGGACGCTTGACATAACACACCACTTGCCTGGCTTTTTTTTTTCTTTTTTATTGATTCATTGATTCCAATTTTACCATTATCACAACAGAAACACCGTAAGGTTTTGATTTTGGTAGTGAGAGACGAAGTGAACATAACCTAATGCAGTGATGAATACCAATTATTAGTGTCTCCTTTATTGCTTCTTACTCTGACCAATAATACCTAAGACCAACACCATCGTATCGCCACCTGCCACCTCCATTAATAAATATTAATCTTCACATTTTAGAACCATTTGATAAGGACGTCCAACCAAGTCGTCAAATTACAATTCACAAAAAAAATTACTTTTTTTTCTGACCAAATATAAAACTTATTAACCATGTTTTATTTTTTTTTTACTTTCTCATTTTTTATGTATTTTTTACAATAACTTTTTTTATTCTTGTATTTTTTTTAAAAATGTTGGAACTTGGATGAAGAGTACAGCTCATTTTGTGCCTACGTTTCTTTGATTCCTCAGAACAATATTTTGTTTTTGGTATTCGCCAAATTATTACTTCACACATCTGACCCCAACACTTTATTTCTTTTGGACCAATCAATTTATTTCTTTATTTTCAGTAATCTGTCATCATACAAACACTTTTTTTAACCTACTTTTTACTGCTCTATGTTTCTTTGTATTTTCATATCATTTTTTTACCAAACACTTTTGTTTTTCCTTTTAAGGGTTCTCTTTCTGTGCTACAAATTGCAATTACTATAATGCTAAAGTTTAAAATTTATCACTACAACATATGTTCGTATTTAAAATTAAACTAAAAAAATTGTAGGAATAGTTTTAATGTGTACCACATGGGTTAGTTATATCTACAAAGATAAGATAAGGAAGACGCATTGAGATACAGATTGTATAAAAAAAACTCACTCTTAGTCGTGTGGTTGTGTCTATAGAGATTTGAGATTTCTGTCAAAAAGGAAATTGTATCATATATTTGCTTACAGAGTGTGTGAATGGGTGAAAGAGATACATAATGTCTTTCATTTTCTAAACATTGTAACCATGTTTAAACAATATTTTGTACTGAATTAGGAAAAAGTATCTTCATAAATGTTATATTGGTTTCAATAAAAAATAATGTGTAAATTAAGTTATGACCATTTTAATAAGAAACAACCAAATTGTCATGATTAGCCATAGTAAACAAATGAGTTAGTCATATTAATAACTTTATATATTGTATTTAGACTTTATAAAAGTCATATAAACAGATAGAAAAGAAAAAAGATAACATTCAAAACTTAAGACATATACTGTTGACGTTTTCATACACTATTTGTATGTGTACGAAAAGGTATATCTTAAGATGTGTGAATGATATATTTTATTATGATACTTTGTAATTTGAACTGTTCGTGTTGATAAATTTACCTGTGTTGCGAGTGATGAAATTATTTTATGCAAGTTCTTGCGTTTTGTATTGTGAGAAGTGTATAGCTTAATAATACAAAAATTCAAGTTATGTTTATCATTTATTATATATAAGAATAATGCATTCCATTCATTTATTTATACTTGGAGGTGGATGTGATGATATTCTAATTTGCTCAAAGAATTTTCAACAAGGGAACCTATCATCCGAGTGTGATGAAGAACAAACATGGTCAACTACATCATCTTTATGGTTATGGTTAGTTGTATTGCATGTTACCAAAGAATCTTCCACCTTGGTATTTACCATCTTTTGTAACATGTTATCGGAAACTCCTTGATCTTGGTACTTATCATCTTTGATTGACTTATTTAAGACAAATATATGATATTGTTTATCAAGTAACTAGTGTTGGGTACTCAGTAGTCAATAAAATGACTATTATATACTTTTTGAATAGATTACATAGTCGAATACTGAATATCGAGTACTATGTTTTCTGTACCAAAGACTACATCTATTTTAATAAAAACATTGGTCATGAAGTCAAGTACCGCATATCGATATCTCCTTATGTCTACCAGGGACACTTTCTCATTGGATAGCTTAGTCAAAAACAAGTCCAATATCTCACAGATAAATTGGTCATTGAATGTTTGAGCCAATGGGCTCACAACTATGGCGTATTCGAATAAGGGCTCATGATCAACAATGCATGTCTATAAATATTATTTTAGTCATTGTTTGACCTTATTTTTTGTATTAATTCAGATTTGACCAAAATCTCTGACAAAGTACTATTTTGGGCGTTGGAAGACTTCTATAGGCACCCCACCATTCGAAAGGAGATGAAGGAGACATAGAGAACGAGTATCGGGTAATGAAGAGCTCGTCAGAGTAGAAAACGACTTTACAAAGTACATTCGATTCCACGTGAACATTAGTTAAATTTTATTTTGGTTGAGATTGAACTAAGAGAGTTTATTATCTAGTTATTGAACTCTAGTCTAATTCATAGTAGTACATTATGCAATGGTGGTATCACCTATTTTAAGAGATAAAAGAAGTACTACATCTACACCAATTAAGTGATTTTGTGGTTGAAAATGTATAAGTGCATGTGAAATGTTTATCTTAACCTATTTTATACCTACTTTTTACATATTGAAGTAGTGTTGTCAAAACAAGCTACCTGATTCAACCGGCTCGGTCTATCACGGGTTTGTCACTTAGTGAGTCAACCCAATATTACTCACATATTAGCAAACCAAAAAAATTTGAACTCAACCCAGTCCGCCACGGGTTATTGGGTTAAACGGGATGACTCACTGACTCACTTAATTTGAAGTTTTTTTTTGCAACTAAAAAACATAATAAAAAATTTCTAGTTCAAATCTAAATAAAGGGAAAGGGTCTTAAATTAGATTTATGATCAATCAAACATAATATTTCATTTATACAAAAATATCACAAAATCTTCTCAACAAAATTTTTAGTGGCTTGATAAGAGTTCAAATTTGTTTTGGGGTAAAATTTGAGTTACTAAGTATTGATTTATAGATTTTTCATGTTTTTTAATTATTTCATACAAAAATAATTTCATGAGACTCTCCTTTTTGATATTTTATAAAATGACTAATTCAATAAAAAATACTTATTAAAAAAATTAGGTGAGTTTGTAAATCATCTCAGCTTACCACGAGTTCAATACAGATAAATCACATTCTTAATAAATCGAATTCAAAATTCATCTATATCGAAATCTCAAAATTGATCTATACACGTAATAGACCGAATTAACTCATATATTCCATGTTTTTTTTAACAAAACTATATTAAAGTATATTTATCATTCTTATTTTGTGTTATTTGTTTAAACATCCTTAGACATATATAAGATTTTAACAAATAGGAAGAGAAGCTGAATAACAAAACTTTGACTTCACTTATATTTTATTCCATAAAAAAAGTTGGTTATTCCTATTTTAATTTTAAACAATCGTTTTCAGAATTTATTATTATTTATATTAATTAGAAATTAAAAAAGTCATTTGAGTACACAAGAATATTGTTTTAAAACCTTTTTTTTTTATGAATGTCATGACAAATATGTGCATCATTTACTTTCTAATTTTGTATTTAATTATTTATTAAAGAAAAACATTAAAAAGATAAAAAAAGTTGTCAAAACTATATTTTTTTTAAAAGTACTTCTTAAAAAATTAAAACTTAATAGTTTAAATTTAAATATTTTCAAATATATCATAATTAATTTTCCTTTTTCCTTTATTGAGTACTCAAAATTTGTATATGTGATTAATTTTATTTTTTTACTTTGATGACATGATAATTATGTTTTTCCATCATCTTAATTATGTCTTTATATTTAACAAACGTGATTAATGTACAAATAATATTAGAATTAATATAAAATAATAAATGCTTTTATTATTTCATTAAGTTAAATGACGAACCAAAATAAAAATTATGTAACCCATTGAACTGAAAAAATAAACAATAAAAACTTAATTTAAAAATATAAAATTTTGAGTACTTAACCATAAATAAAGAAAGGAGGTTAATAAAAACAGAATTAAAAATATCCAATTTTTTTAAAACCATGTTTTAATCATGAAACGCCCCAAAACAAATTCATTCAAAACCATAAAACGTTCCCAAAATAAATTCATTCATAATCTAAAGCACATTTGGTTTAACTGAAACCACTTTTCAATTTAGCTGAAAAAAAACATTTGAAAAAGCATGTTAAAAGGTATTCAATACTCATTTTCTAAAAAAAAGAACATACTGTTTTTGTAATATATAATGCAAAAGAAATAAACTACCTTTCTCAGAGAAAAATTATTAATTTTTAAAAAAATAAAAAATTAGTAACAATAATGCCTGAATATTATTATTATTTAATTTTAAAATATAAACAGTTATCCTAAAAGCAATTTTTTCTCCCTGTATAGGTTTATAGTAATAAATTCCTGTCAATTGTTGGCTGCTGATTTAGTTAACACTGGACGCCAACTATTTTAAGGAGGTTACATTCTGATGACCATATTCTTGACGGAGAAACAAAATTCTTGAGGTACATAGCTTGCGCATAACAAAATAAGTTTGAGACAACTTCATCAACAAATAGAAAGAAATAACCGTTGACTATCTATCTCTTCACACTTATTTCTTGTTATGTTCGGACTTTCAAGGTCACTAATTATTTTTGCTACTTCATAGAAAAAATAGAGGCCAATCCCACCCTCCATCCGTACAACGTGGACAAGCTGTGCCTTTGAGGGGTAGCAGAAATCATACTTGGTCTCAAAATTTGAAAGGGCTTAAGTACCATCTTGCAGCTACTTGTCTCTGAGGAGGACCTGAATTGATTTCAGAGTTCAGAAATCAAGTAACTAGAATTCAATAGGTATTATACCAAGAGCACATGAAACATACACAATTAGAGCAGCATTTGGATGTTCAGAAGTTAATACTTAAGAGAATTCAATAATTATTTTCAGTATGAAATGACTAGATATTATATTAAGAGCACACGAAACATAAATCAGCAATCTCTCTATGGTGGACTGTAAACAAGCACAGTAGAAGAAAATTCATGAAGATCCACAACAGCATTGGTCCAAGTGAATATCCATCGCAAGTGGAATTTGCAGAGAATTGCAAAAGAAATTATGGCAACACACCCTACTACGAGAAAATAGTCTG